TCCACGTCTACGTCCACGTCCATGTACACGTCCACGTCCACGTCCACGTCCACGTCCATGTACACGTCCACGTCCACGTCCACGTCCACGTCCACGTCCACGACCATGGCCACGTCCATGTCCGTCCACGTCCACGTCCACGACCATGGCCACGTCCATGTCCATCCATGTCCACGTCCACGTCCACGTCCACGTCCACGTCCAGGTCCACGTCTACGTCCACGTCCACGTCCACGTCCACGTCCACGTACACGTCCACGTCCACGTCCACGTCCACGTCCACGTCCACGTCCACGTCCACGTCCAGGTCCACGTCCACGTCCACGTCCACGTCCACGTCCACATCCACGTCCAATTCCACGTCCACGTCCACGTCCACGTCCACCTCCGAGTCCACGTCCACCTCCACGTCCACGTCCACGTCCACGTCCACCTCCACGTCCACCTCCACGTCCACGTCCACGTCCACGTCCACGTCCAAGTCCACCTCCACGTCCACGTCCACGTCCACGTCCACGTCCACGTCCACAACCACGTCCACGTCCAGGTCCACGTCCACGTCCACGTCCACGTTTACGTCCACGTCCAGGTCCACGTCCAGGTCCACGTCCACGTTTACGTCCACATCCACGTCCATGTCCAGGTCCACGTCCACGTCCACGTCCACGTCCACGATCACGTCCACGTCCACGTCCACGTCCACGTCCACGATCATGTCCACGTCCACGACCATGTCTTCGTCCACGTCCACGTCCACGTCCACGTCCACGACCATGTCTTCGTCCACGTCCACGTCCACGTCCACGTCCACGACCATGTCTTCGTCCACGTCCACGTCCACGTCCACATCCACGTCCATGTCCTCGTCCAAGTCCTCCACGTCCACGTCCACGTCCACGTCCACGTCCACGTCCACGTCCATGTCCACGTCGTCCACGTCCACGTCCATGTCCACGTCCTCCACGTCCACGTCCATGTCCACGTCCTCCACATCCACGTCCACCTCCACGTCCACGTCCACATCCACGACCACGTCCATGTCCACGTCCTTGTCCACGTCCACGTCAACGTCCACGTCCACGTCCACGTCCACGTCCACGTCCACGTCCATGTCCACGTCCACGTCCACGTCCACGTCCACGTCCATGTCCACGTCCATGTCCACGTCCACGTCCATGTCCACGTCCACGTCCACGTCCACGTCCACTAGAGGGAATCTAACGGTCTCACTCGATCAGAAGGTGGGAAATATATAAATCTAGTCAGCTAAAAAGGTTTGAAATTTATTCAACGCACATGTATAGAGAAAATGGTGCATTGGCCAGGTCGGTCAGTATCGGAACTTAAAATGCAAATGCCAGGGAGAACGGAAGCGCTCAGATCTCGCATAGTACACGAAATCAAGTGGTCTCACTCAAATAGAAAGTAGGAAATATATTCATCTAGTGAACGTAAGAGTTTGAAAGGTAACTAACGCACATGTGTAGAGAAAATGGTGCGTCGGCCAGTCTGGCCGGCATTTCGCACTTATAGTGCAACTAGGGTCAAGGAGAACGGAAACGCTCATTTCTCAAGAAGTAGAGGGAATCTAGCGTTCTCACTCGATCATAAGGTGGGAAATATATAAATCTAGTGAGCTAATAAGGTTTGAAAGGAATCTAATGCATATGTATATGGAAAATGGTGCATTGGCCAGGTCGGTCAGTATGGGAACTTAGAGTGCAAATGCCAGGGAGAACGGAAGCGCTCAGATCTCGCATAGTACACGGAATCTAGTGGTCTCACTCAAATAGAAGGTAGGAGATAAATTCATCTAATGAACGTAAGGGATTGAAAGGTAACTAACGCACATGTGTAGAGAAGATGGTGCATCGGCCAGTCTGGCCGGCATTTCGCACTTATAGTGCAAGTAGGGCCAAGGAGAACGGAAACGCTCATTTCTCAAAACGTAAAGGGAATCTAGCGGTCTCACTCGATCAGAAGGTGGGAAATATATAAATCTAGTGAGCTAATAAGGTTCGGAAGGAATCTAATGCATATGTATATGGAAAGCGGTTCATTGGCTAGGTCGGTCAGTATGGGAACTTAGAGTGCAAATGCCAGTGAGAACGGAACCGCTCAGATCTCGCATAGTATACGGAATCTAGTGGTCTCACTCAAATGGAAGATAGGAAATAAATTCATCTAGTGAACGTAAGGGTTTGAAAGGTAACTAACGCACATGTGTAGAGAAAATGGTGCATCGGCCAGTCTGGCCGGCATTTCGCACTCATAGTGCAGGTGGGGCCAGGGAGAACGGAAACGCTCGTTTCTCAAAAACTAGAGGGAATCTAACGGTCTCACTCGATCAGAAGGTGGGAAATATATAAATCTAGTCAGCTAAAAAGGTTTGAAATGTATTCAACGCACATGTATAGAGAAAATGGTGCATTGGCCAGGTCGGTCAGTATCGGAACTTAAAATGCAAATGCCAGGGAGAACGGAACCGCTCAGATCTCGCATAGTACACGGAATCTAGTGGTCACACTCAAATAGAAGGTAGGAAATATATTCATCTAGTGAACGTAAGGGTTTGAAAGGTAACTAACGCACATGTGTAGAGAAAATGGTGCATCGGCCAGTCTGGCCGGCATTTCGCACTTATAGTGCAAGTAGGGCCAAGGAGAACGGAAACGCTCATTTCTCAAAAAGTAAAGGGAATCTAGCGGTCTCACTCGATCAGAAGGTGGGAAATATATAAATCTAGTGAGCTAATAAGGTTTGAAAGGAATCTAATGCATATGTATATGGAAAATGGTGCATTGGCCAGGTCGGTCAGTATGGGAACTTAGAGTGCAAATGTCAGGGAGAACGGAACCGCTCAGATCTCGCATAGTACACGGAATCTAGTGGTCTCACTCAAATAGAAGGTAGGAAATAAATTCATCTAGTGAACGTAAGGGTTTGAAAGGTAACTAACGCACATGTGTAGAGAAAATGGTGCATCGGCCAGGCTGGCCGGCATTTCGCACTTATAGTGCAAGTAGGGCCAAGGAGAACGGAAACGCTCATTTCTCAAAAAGTAAAGGGAATCTAGCGGTCTCACTCGATCAGAAGGTGGGAAATATATAAATCTAGTGAGCTAATAAGGTTTGAAAGGAATCGAATGCATATGTATATGGAAAATGGTGCATTGGCCAGGTCGGTCAGTATGGGAACTTAGAGTGCAAATGCCAGGGAGAACGGAAGCGCTCAGATCTCGCATAGTACACGGAATCTAGTGGTCTCACTCAAATAGAAGGTAGGAAATAAATTCATCTAGTGAACGTAAGGGTTTGAAAGGTAAATAACGCACATGTGTAGAGAAAATGGTGCATCGGCCAGGCTGGCCGGCATTTCGCACTTATAGTGCAAGTAGGGCCAAGGAGAACGGAAACGCGCATTTCTCAAAAAGTAAAGGGAATCTAGCGGTCTCACTCGATCAGAAGGTGGGAAATATATAAATCTAGTGAGCTAATAAGGTTTGAAAGGAATCTTATGCATATGTATATGGAAAATGGTGCATTGGCCAGGTCGGTCAGTATGGGAACTTAGAGTGCAAATGCCAGGGAGAACGGAAGCGCTTAGATCTCGCATAGTACACAGAATCTAGTGGTCTCACTCAAATAGAAGGTAGGAAATAAATTCATCTAGTGAACGTAAGGGTTTGAAAGGTAACTAACGCACATGTGTAGAGAAAATGGTGCATCGGCCAGTCTGGCCGGCATTTCGCACTTATAGTGCAAGTAGGGCCAAGGAGAACGGAAACGCTCATTTCTCAAAAAGTAAAGGGAATCTAGCGGTCTCACTCGATCAGAAGGTGGGAAATATATAAATCTAGTGAGCTAATAAGGTTTGAAAGGAATCTTATGCATATGTATATGGAAAATGGTGCATTGGCCAGGTCGGTCAGTATGGGAACTTAGAGTGCAAATGCCAGGGAGAACGGAACCGCTCAGATCTCGCATAGTACACGGAATCTAGTGGTCTCACTCAAATAGAAGGTAGGAAATATATTCATCTAGTGAACGTAAGGGTTTGAAAGGTAACTAACGCACATGTGTAGAGAAAATGGTGCATCGGCCAGTCTGGCCGGCATTTCGCACTTATAGTGCAAGTAGGGCCAAGGAGAACGGAAACGCTCATTTCTCAAAAAGTAAAGGGAATCTAGCGGTCTCACTCGATCAGAAGGTGGGAAATATATAAATCTAGTGAGCTAATAAGGTTTGGAAGGAATCTAATGCATATGTATATGGAAAATGGTGCATTGGCCAGGTCGGTCAGTATGGGAACTTAGAGTGCAAATGCCAGGGAGAACGGAAGCGCTCAGATCTCGCATAGTACACGGAATCTAGTGGTCTCACTCAAATAGAAGGTAGGAAATAAATTCATCTAGTGAACGTAAGGGTTTGAAAGGTAACTAACGCACATGTGTAGAGAAAATGGTGCATCGGCCAGTCTGGCCGGCATTTCGCACTTATAGTGCAAGTAGGGCCAAGGAGAACGGAAACGCTCATTTCTCAAAAAGTAAAGGGAATCTAGCGGTCTCACTCGATCAGAAGGTGGGAAATATATAAATCTAGTGAGCTAATAAGGTTTGAAAGGAATCTAATGCATATGTATATGGAAAATGGTGCATTGGCCAGGTCGGTCAGTATGGGAACTTAGAGTGCAAATGCCAGGGAGAACGGAACCGCTCAGATCTCGCATAGTACACGGAATCTAGTGGTCTCACTCAAATAGAAGGTAGGAAATATATTCATCTAGTGAACGTAAGGGTTTGAAAGGTAACTAACGCACATGTGTAGAGAAAATGGTGCATCGGCCAGTCTGGCCGGCATTTCGCACTTTTAGTGCAAGTAGGGCCAAGGAGAACGGAAACGCTCATTTCTCAAAAAGTAAAGGGAATCTAGCGGTCTCACTCGATCAGAAGGTGGGAAATATATAAATCTAGTGAGCTAATAAGGTTTGGAAGGAATCTAATGCATATGTATATGGAAAGTGGTGCATTGGCCAGGTCGGTCAGTATGGGAACTTAGAGTGCAAATGCCTGGGAGAACGGAACCGCTCAGATCTCGCATAGTACACGGAATCTAGTGGTCTCACTCAAATAGAAGGTAGGAAATATATTCATCTAGTGAACGTAAGGGTTTGAAAGGTAACTAACGCACATGTGTAGAGAAAATGGTGCATCGGCCAGTCTGGCCGGCATTTCGTAGGGCCAAGGAGAACGGACGTGGACGTGGACGTGGACGTGGACATGGTTGTGGACGTGGTCGTGGACGTGGACGTGGACGTGGACGTGGACGTGGAGGTGGACGTGGACGTGGACGTGGACGTGGACATGGACGTGGACGTGGCCGTGGACGTGGACATGGACGTGGACGTGGACGTGGACGTGGACGTGGACATGGACGTGGACGTGGCCATGGACGTGGCCATGGACGTGGAGGTGGACGTGGACGTGGACGTGGACGTGGACGTGGACGTGGCCATGGACGTGGACGTAGACGTGGACTTGGACGTGGACGTGGACGTGGACGTGGACGTGGACGTGGACGTGGTCGTGGAGGTGGACGTGGAGGTGGACGTGGACGTGGACGTGGACGTGGACGTGGACGTGGACGTGGACGTGCACGTGGACGTGGACACGTGGACGTGGACGTGGACGTGGACGTGGACGTGGTCGTGGACGTGGTCGTGGACGTGGACGTGGACAAGGACGTGGACGTGGACGTGGACGTGGACGTGGACGTGGACGTGGACGTGGACGTGAACGTGGACGTGGTCGTGGACGTGGACGTGGACGTGGACGTGGACGTGGACGTGGACGTGGACGTGGACGTGGACGTGGACGTAGTCGTGGACGTGGACGTAGACGTGGACCTGGACCTGGACGTGGACGTGGACATGGACATGGACGTGGACGTGGACGTGAACGTGGACATGGACGTGAACGTGGACGTGGACCTGGACATGGACGTGGACGTGGACGTGGTCGTGGACGTGGACGTGGACTTGGACGTGGACGTGGTCGTGGACGTGGACATGGACGTGGACGTGGACTTGGACGTGGACGTGGACTTCGACGTGGACTTCGACGTGGTCGTGGACGTGGTCGTGGACGTGGACATGGTCGTGGACGTGGACGTGGACGTGGACGTGGACTTGGACATGGACGTGGACGTGGACGTGGACGTGGACGTGGACGTGGACGTGGACGTGGACATGGACGTGGACGTGGACGTGGACGTGGACGTGGTCGTGGATGTGGACGTGGACGTGGACATGGACCTCGACGTGGACGTGGACATGGACATGGACGTGGACGTGGACGTGGACCTGGACGTGGACGTGAACGTGGACGTGGACATGGACGTGGACGTGGACATGGACGTGGAGGTGAACGTGGACGTGGACATGGACGTGGACGTGGACGTGGACATGGTCGTGGACTTGGACATGGTCGTGGACGTGGTCGTGGACGTGGACCTGGTCGTGGACGTGGACGTGGACGTGGACGTGGACATGGACCTGGACGTGGACGTGGACATGGACATGGACGTGGACGTGGACCTGGACGTGGACGTGGACGTGAACGTGGACGTGGACGTGGACGTGGACGTGGACGTGGACAAGGTCGTGGACGTGGACGTGGACATGGACGTGGACGTGGACGTGAACGTGGACGTGGACGTGGTCGTGGACGTGGACGTGGACGTGGACGTGGACATGGACGTGGACGTGGACGAGAACGTGGACGTGGACATGGACGTGGACGTGGACGTGGACGTGGTCGTGGACGTGGTCGTGGACGTGGACGTGGACGTGGACGTGGTCGTGGACGTGGACGTGGACGTGGACGTGGACTTGGACGTGGACGTGGACGTAGACGTGGACTTGGACATGGTCGTGGACGTGGTCGTGGACGTGGACATGGTCGTGGACGTGGACGTGGACGTGGACTTGGACGTGGACGTGGACGTGGACGTGGACGTGGACATGGTCGTGGACGTGGACGTGGACGTGGACGTGGACGTGGACGTGGTCGTGGACGTGGACGTGGACGTGGACGTGGACGTGGACCTAGACCTGGACCTGGACGTGGACGTGGACATGGACATGGACGTGGACGTGGACGTGGACGTGGACGTGGACGTGAACGTGGACGTGGACGTGGACGTGGTCGTGGACGTGGACGTGGACGTGGACGTGGTCGTGGACGTGGACGTGGACATGGACGTGTGGACGTGGACATGGACGTGGACGTGGACGTGGACGTGGACATGGACGTGGACGTGGACATGGACGTGGACGTGGACGAGAACGTGGACGTGGACGTGGACGTGGACGTGGTCATGGACGTGGTCGTGGACGTGGTCGTGGACGTGGACGTGGACGTGGACGTGGTCGTGGACGTGGACGTGGACTTGGACGTAGACGTGGACGTAGACGTGGTCGTGGACGTGGTCGTGGACGTGGTCGTGGACGTGGACGTGGACGTGAACGTGGACTTGGACGTGGACTTGGACGTGGACGTGGACGTGGACATGGTCGTGGACGTGGACGTGGACGAGGACGTGGACGTGGTCGTGGACGTGGACGTGGACGTGGACGTGGACGTGGACGTGGACGTGGACATGGACGTGGACGTGGACGTGGACGTAGACGTGGACGTGGACATGGACGTGGACGTGGACGTGGACGTGGACATGGTCCTGGACGTGGACATGGACGTGGACGTGGACGTGGACGTGGACGTGGACGTGGACGTGGACCTGGACGTGGACGTGGACGTGGACGTGGAGGTGGACGTGGAGGTGGACGTGGACGTGGACGTGGACGTGGACGTGGACCTGGACGTGGACGTGGACGTGGACGTGGACTTGGACGTGGACGTGGACGTGGACGTGGACGTGGACGTGGACGTGGACGTGGACGTGGACATGGTCGTGGAGGTGGACGTGGAGGTGGACGTGGACGTGGACGTGGACGTGGACGTGGACGTGGACACGTGGACGTGGACGTGGACGTGGACGTGGACGTGGTCGTGGACGTGGTCGTGGACGTGGACGTGGACGTGGACGTGGTCGTGGACGTGGACGTGGACGTGGACGTGGACGTGGTCGTGGACGTGGACGTGGACGTGGTCGTGGACGTGGTCGTGGACGTGGACGTGGACGTGGACGTGGACGTGGAGGTGGACGTGGACGTGGACGTGGACGTGGTCGTGGACGTGGACGTGGACATGGACGTGGACCTGGACGTGGACGTGGACATGGACGTGGACCTGGACGTGGACGTGGACGTGGACGTGGACGTGAACGTGGACGTGGACGTGGACGTGGACGTGGACGTGGACGTGGACGTGGACGTGGTCGTGGACGTGGACTTGGACGTGGACTTGGACGTGGACGTGGACGTGGACGTGGACTTGGACATGGTTGTGGACGTGGTCGTGGACGTGGACGTGGTCGTGGACGTGGACGTGGACGTGGACTTGGACATGGACGTGGGCGTGGACGTGGACGTGGACGTGGACATGGACGTGGACGTGGACGTGGACGTGGACGTGGACGTGGTCGTGGACGTGGACGTGGACATGGACGTGGACGTGGACGTGGACATGGACATGGACGTGGACGTGGACGTGGACGTGGACGTGGTCGTGGACTTGGACATGGTCGTGGACGTGGTCGTGGACGTGGACGTGGTCGTGGACGTGGACGTGGACGTGGACGTGGACGTGGACATGGACGTGGACGTGGACGTGGACATGGACCTGGACGTGGACGTGGACGTGGACGTGGACGTGGACGTGGACTTGGACATGGTCGTGGACGTGGTCGTGGACGTGGACATGGTCCTGGACGTGGAGGTGGACGTGGACGTGGACGTGGACTTGGACGTGGACGTGGACGTGGACGTGGACATGGTCGTGGACGTGGACGTGGACGTGGACGTGGACGTGGACGTGGTCGTGGACGTGGACGTGGACGTGGACGTGGACGTGGACGTGGACGTGGACGTGTGGAGGTGGACGTGGACGTGGACGTGGACGTGGACGTGGACCTGGACGTGGACGTGGACGTGGACGTGGACGTGGACGTGGACGTGGACGTGGACATGGACATGGACGTGGACGTGGACGTGAACGTGGACATGGACGTGAACGTGGACGTGGACCTGGACATGGACGTGGACGTGGACGTGGTCGTGGACGTGGACGTGGACGTGGACGTGGTCGTGGACGTGGACATGGACGTGGACGTGGACTTGGACGTGGACGTGGACTTCGACGTGGTCGTGGACGTGGTCGTGGACGTGGTCGTGGACGTGGACATGGTCGTGGACGTGGACGTGGACGTGGACGTGGACGTGGACTTGGACATGGACGTGGACGTGGACGTGGACGTGGACGTGGACGTGGACATGGACGTGGACGTGGACGTGGACGTGGACGTGGTCGTGGATGTGGACGTGGACGTGGACATGGACCTCGACGTGGACGTGGACATGGACATGGACGTGGACGTGGACGTGGACCTGGACGTGGACGTGAACGTGGACGTGGACATGGACGTGGACGTGGACATGGACGTGGAGGTGAACGTGGACGTGGACATGGACGTGGACGTGGACGTGGACATGGTCGTGGACTTGGACATGGTCGTGGACGTGGTCGTGGACGTGGACCTGGTCGTGGACGTGGACGTGGACGTGGACGTGGACGTGGACGTGGACATGGACCTGGACGTGGACGTGGACATGGACATGGACGTGGACGTGGACCTGGACGTGGACGTGGACGTGAACGTGGACGTGGACGTGGACGTGGACGTGGACGTGGACGTGGACGTGGACGTGGTCGTGGACGTGGACGTGGACATGGACGTGGACGTGGACGTGAACGTGGACGTGGACGTGGTCGTGGACGTGGACGTGGACGTGGACGTGGATATGGACGTGGACGTGGACGAGAACGTGGACGTGGACATGGACGTGGACGTGGACGTGGACGTGGTCGTGGACGTGGTCGTGGACGTGGACGTGGACGTGGACGTGGTCGTGGACGTGGACGTGGACGTGGACGTGGACTTGGACGTGGACGTGGACGTAGACGTGGACTTGGACATGGTCGTGGACGTGGTCGTGGACGTGGACATGGTCGTGGACGTGGACGTGGACGTGGACGTGGACTTGGACGTGGACGTGGACGTGGACGTGGACGTGGACATGGTCGTGGACGTGGACGTGGACGTGGACGTGGTCGTGGACGTGGACGTGGACGTGGACGTGGACGTGGACCTGGACCTGGACGTGGACGTGGACATGGACATGGACGTGGACGTGGACGTGGACGTGAACGTGGACGTGGACGTGGACGTGGTCGTGGACGTGGACGTGGACGTGGACGTGGACGTGGTCGTGGACGTGGACGTGGACATGGACGTGTGGACGTGGACATGGACGTGGACGTGGACGTGGACATGGACGTGGACATGGACGTGGACGTGGACGAGAACGTGGACGTGGACGTGGACGTGGACGTGGTCGTGGACGTGGTCGTGGACGTGGTCGTGGACGTGGACGTGGACGTGGACGTGGTCGTGGACGTGGACGTGGACTTGGACGTAGACGTGGACGTAGACGTGGTCGTGGACGTGGTCGTGGACGTGGTCGTGGACGTGGACGTGGACGTGAACGTGGACTTGGACGTGGACGTGGACGTGGACGTGGACGTGGACGTGGACGTGGACGTGTGGAGGTGGACGTGGACGTGGACGTGGACGTGGACGTGGACCTGGACGTGGACGTGGACGTGGACGTGGACGTGGACGTGGACGTGGACGTGGACGTGGACCTGGACGTGGACGTGGACGTGGACGTGGACGTGGACGTGGACGTGGACGTGTGGAGGTGGACGTGGACGTGGACGTGGACGTGGACGTGGACCTGGACGTGGACCTGGACGTGGACGTGGACGTGGACGTGGAAGTGGACGTGGACGTGGACGTGGACGTGGACGTGGACGTGGACGTGGACGTGGTCGTGGACGTCGACGTGGACGTGGACGTGGACGTGGACGTGGACGTGGACCTGGACGTGGACGTGGACGTGGACGTGGACGTGGACGTGGACTTGGACGTGGACTTGGACGTGGACGTGGACGTGGATGTGAACGTGGACGTGGTCGTGGACGTGGTCGTGGACGTGGACGTGGACGTGGACGTGGACGTGGAGGTGGACGTGGAGGTGGACGTGGAGGTGGACGTAGACGTGGTCGTGGACGTGGACGTGGACGTGGACGTGGTCGTGGACGTGGTCGTGGACGTGGTCGTGGACGTGGACGTGGACGTGGACGTGGACGTGGACGTGGACCTGGACGTGGACGTGGACGTGGTTGTGGTCGTGGACGTGGACGTGGACGTGGACTTGGACGTGGACCCGGACGTGGACGTGGACGTGGAGTGGACATGAACGTGGATGTGGTCGTGGACGTGGACGTGGACGTGGACATGGACGTGGACGTGGACGTGGACGTGGACGTGGTCGTGGACGTGGACGTGGACGTGGACGTGGACGTGGACGTGGACGTGGACGTGGACGTGGACGTGGAGGTGGACGTGGTCGTGGACTTGGACGTGGACGTGGTCGTGGACGATGACGTGGACGTGGACTTGGACGTGGACGTGGATGTGGACATGGACGTGGACGTGGACGTTGACGTGGACGTGGACGTGGACGTGGACGTACACGTGGACGTGGACGTGGACGTACACGTGGACGTGGACGTGGACGTACACGTGGAGGTGGACGTGGACATGGACGTGGACGTGGACATGGACGTGGACGTGGACGTGAACGTGGACGTGGTCGTGGACGTGGACGTGGACGTGGACGTGGACATGGACGTGGACGTGGACGAGAACGTGGACGTGGACATGGACGTGGACGTGGACGTGGACGTGGTCGTGGACGTGGACGTGGACGTGGACGTGGACGTGGACGTGGACGAGGACGTGGACGTGGACGAGGACGTGGACGTGGACCTGGACGTGGAGGACGTGGACATGGACGTGGACGTGGACATGGACGTGGACATGGACGTGGACGTGGACGTGGACGTGGACGTGGACGTGGACGTGGTCGTGGACGTGGTCGTGGTCGTGGACATGGATGTGGACGTGGACGTGGACGTGGACGTTGACGTGGACGTGGACGTGGACCAGGACGTGGACGTGGACGTGGACGTGGACGTGGACGTGGACGTGGACCTGGACGTGGACGTGGACGTGGACGTGGACGTGGAGGTGGACGTGGACGTGGACGTGGACGTGGACGTGGACTTGGACGTGGACGTGGACGTGGACGTGGAGGTGGACGTGGACGTGGACGTGGACGTGGACGTGGACGTGGACGTGGACGTGGACGTGGACACGTGGACGTGGACGTGGACGTGGACGTGGTCGTGGACGTGGACGTGGACGTGGACGTGGACGTGGACGTGGACTTGGACATGGACGTGGACGTGGACGTGGACCTGGACATGGACGTGAACGAGGACGTGGTCGTGGACGTCGACGTGGACGTGGACATGGACGTGGACGTGGACGTGGACGTAGACGTGGACGTGGACGTGGAGGTGGACGTGGACGTGGACGTGGACGTGGACGTGGTCGTGGACGTGGACGTGGACGTGGACGTGGACGTAGTAGTGGACGTGGAGGTGGACGTGGAGGTGGACGTGGACGTGGACGTGGACGTGGACGTGGAGGTGGACGTGGACGTACACGTGGACGTGGACGTGGACGTGGACGTACACGTGGACGTACACGTGGACGTGGACGTGGACGTGGACGTGGACGTGGTTGTGGACGTGGACGTGGAGGACGTGGCCGTGGACGTGGACATGGAGGACGTGGACGTGGACATGGACGTGGACGTGGACGTGGACGTGGACATGGACGTGGACGTGGACGCGTGGACGTGGACGTGGACGTGGACGTGGACGTGGACATGGACGTGGACGTGGACGTGGTTGTGGTCGTGGACGTGGACGTGGACGTGGACGTGGACGTGGACGTGGACGTGGACGTACACGTGGACGTGGACGTGGACGTGGACATGGACGTGGACGTGGACGTGGACGTGGACGTGGAGATGGACGTGGACGTGGAGATGGACGTGGACGTGGACGTGGACGTGGACGTGGACATGGACGTGGACGTGGACGTGGACGTAGACGTGGACGTAGACGTGGTCGTGGACGTGGTTGTGGACGTGGTCGTGGACGTGGACGTGGACGTGGACGTGGACATGGACGTGGACATGGACGTGGACGTGGTCGTGGTCGTAGACGTGGACGTGGACGTGGACATGGTCGTGGACGTGGACGTGGACGTGGTCGTGGACATGGACGTGGACGTGGACGTGGACGTACACGTGGACGTGGACGTGGACGTGGAGATGGACGTGGACGTGGACGTGGACGTGGACGTGGTCGTGGACGTGGACGTGGACGTGGACGTGGACGTGGACGTGGACGTGGAGGTGGACGTGGACGTGGACATAGACGTGGTCGTGGACGTGGACGTGGACGTGGTCGTGGACGTGGACGTGGACGTGGACGCGTGGACGTGGACGCGTGGACGTGGTCGTGGACGTGGACATGGACGTGGACGTGGACGTTGACGTGGTCGTGGACGTGGATCGTGGACGTGGACGTGGACGTGGACGTGAACGCGGACGTGGACGTGGACGCGGACGTGGACGTGGACGTGGACGCGGACGTGGACGCGGACGTGGACGCGGACGTGGGCGTGGACGTGGACGTGGACGTGGACATGGACGTGGTCGTGGACGTGGTCGTGGACGTGGACGTGGACGGGGTCGTGGACGTGGTCGTGGACGTGGACGTGGACGTGGACGTGGACGTGGACGCGGACGTGGATGCGGACGTGGACGCGGACGTGGATGCGGACGTGGACGTAGACGTGGACGTGGGCGTGGACGTGGACGTGGACGTGGACGTGGACATGAACGTGGACGTGGACGTGAACGTGGACGTGGACGTGGACGTGGACGTGGACGTGGTCGTGGACGTGGACGTGGACGTGGACGTGGACGTGGACGTGGACATGGTCGTGGACGTGGACGTGGACGAGGACGTGGACTTGGACGTGGACATGGACGTGGACTTGGACATGGTCGTGGACGTGGTCGTGGACGTGGACATGGTCGTGGACTTGGACGTGGACGTGGACGTGGACGTGGACTTGGACGTGGACGTGGACGTGGACGTGGACGTGGACGTAGACGTGGACGTGGACTTGGACGTGGACGTGGACGTGGACGTGGACGTGGACATGGTCGTGGTCGTGGACGTGGACGTGGACGTGGACGTGGACGTGGACATGGTCATGGACGTGGACGTGGACGTGGACGTGGACGTGGACGTGGTCGTGGACGTGGACGTGGACGTGGACGTGGACATGGTCGTGGACGTGGACGGGGTCGTGGACGTGGACGTGGACGTGGACGTGGACGCGGACGTGGACGCGGACGTGGATGCGGACGTGGACGTGGACGTGGACGTGGGCGTGGACGTGGACGTGGACATGGACGTGGACGTGGACGTGGACGTGGACGTGGACGTGGGCGTCGACGTGGACGTGGACGTGGACATGGACGTGGTCGTGGACGTGGTCGTGGACGTGGACGTGGACGTGGACATGGTCGTGGACGTGGATGTGGAGGTGGACATGGTCGTGGACCTGGACGTGGAGGACTTGGACGTGGAGATGGACGTGGACGTGGACGTGGACGTGGACGTGGACATGGACTTGGACGTGGACGTGGACGTGGACCTGGACGTGGACGTGGACGTGGACGTGGACGTGGACGTGGACGTGGACGTGGACCTGGACGTGGACGTGGACGTGGACGTGGACGTGGACGTGGTCGTGGACGTGGACGTGGACGTGGACGTGGACGTGGACTTGGACGTGGACGTGGACGTGGACGTGGACTTGGACGTGGACGTGGACGTGGACGTGGACGTGGACGTGGACGTGGACGTGGAGGTGGACATGGTCGTGGAGGTGGAGGTGGACGTGGACGTGGACATGGTCGTGGACGTGGACGTGGACGTGGACGTAGACGTGGACGTGGACGTGGACGTGGACGTGGACGTGGACGTGGACGTGGACACGTGGACGTGGACGTGGACGTGGACGTGGACGTGGTCGTGGACGTGGACCTGGACGTGGACGTGGTCGTGGACGTGGACGTGGACGTGGACGTGGACCTGGACGTGGACGTGGACGTGGACGTGGACGTGGACTTGGACATGGACGTGGACGTGGACGTGGACGTGGACATGGACGTGAACGTGGACGTGGTCGTGGACGTGGACGTGGACGTGGACGTGGACGTGGACGTGGACGTACACGTGGACGTGGACGTGGACGTACACGTGGACGTGGACGTGGACGTGGACGTACACGTGGACGTGGACGTGGACGTGGACGTGGACGTGGACGTGGACGTGAACGTGGACATGGACGTGGACGTGGACGTGGACGTGGAGGACGTGGACGTGGACGTGGACGTGGAGGACGTGGACGTGGACATGGACGTGGACGTGGACGTGGACGTGGACGTGGACGTGGACGTGGACGCGTGGACGTGGTCGTGGACGCGGACATGGACGTGGACGTGGACGTGGTCGTGGTCGTGGACGTGGACGTGGACGTGGACGTGGTCGTGGACGTGGACGTGGACGTGGACGTGGACGTGGACATGGACGTGGACGTGGACGTGGACGTACACGTGGACGTGGACGTGGACGTGGACGTGGACGTGGACGTGGACGTGGAGATGGACGTGGACATGGACGTGGACGTGGACGTGGACGTGGACGTGGTCGTGGACGTGGACGTGGACGTGGACATGGACGTGGACGTGGACGTGGACGTGGACGTGGAGGTGGACGTGGACGTGGACGTGGAGGACGTGGACGTGGACATGGACGTGGACGTGGACGTGGACGTGGACGTGGAGGACGTGGACGTGGACGTGGACGTGGAGGACGTGGACGTGGACATGGACGTGGACGTGGACGTGGACGTGGACATGGACGTGGACGTGGACGCGTGGACGTGGACGTGGACGTGGACGTGGACGTGGACATGGACGTGGACGTGGACGTTGTCGTGGTCGTGGACGTGGACGTGGACGTGGACATGGTCGTGGACGTGGACGTGGACGTGGACGTGGACGTGGACGTGGACGTGGACATGGACGTGGACGTGGACGTGGACGTACACGTGGACGTGGACGTACACGTGGACGTGGACGTGGACGTGGACGTGGACGTGGACGTGGACGTGGACGTGGACGTGGACGTGGACGTGGACGTGGACGTGGACGTGGACGTGGAGGTGGACGTGGACGTGGACGTGGAGGACGTGGACGTGGACATGGACATGGACGTGGACGTGGACGTGGACGTGGACGTGGACGTGGACGTGGACGTGGACGTGGACGTGGACGTGGAGGTGGACGTGGACGTGGACGTGGACGTGGACGTGGACGTGGAGGTGGACGTGGACGTGGACGTGGAGGACGTGGACGTGGACATGGACATGGACGTGGACGTGGACGTGGACGTGGACGTGGAGGACGTGGACGTGGACGTGGACGTGGAGGACGTGGACGTGGACATGGACGTGGACGTGGACGTGGACGTGGACATGGACGTGGACGTGGACGCGTGGACGTGGACGTGGACGTGGACGTGGACGTGGACATGGACGTGGACGTGGACGTTGTCGTGGTCGTGGACGTGGACGTGGACGTGGACATGGTCGTGGACGTGGACGTGGACGTGGACGTGGACGTGGACGTGGACATGGACGTGGACGTGGACGTGGACGTACACGTGGACATGGACGTACACGTGGACGTGGACGTGGACGTGGACGTGGACGTGGACCTGGACCTGGACGTGGACGTGGACGTGGACGTGGAGATGGACGTGGACGTGGAGGTGGACGTGGACGTGGACGTGGACGTGGACGTGGACGTGGAGGTGGACGTGGAGGTGGACGTGGAGGTGGACGTAGACGTGGTCGTGGACGTGGACGTGGACGTGGACGTGGTCGTGGACGTGGTCGTGGACGTGGTCGTGGACGTGGACGTGGACGTGGACGTGGACGTGGACGTGGACGTGGACATGGACGTGGACGTGGACGTGGACGTGGACGTGGACCTGGACGTGGACGTGGACGTGGTTGTGGTCGTGGACGTGGACGTGGACTTGGACGTGGACCCGGACGTGGACGTGGACGTGGAGTGGACATGAACGTGGACGTGGTCGTGGACGTGGACGTGGACGTGGACATGGACGTGGACGTGGACGTGGACGTGGAGGTGGACGTGGACGTGGACGTGGTCGTGGACGTGGACGTGGACGTGGACGTGGACGTCGACGTGGACGTGGACGTGGACATGGACGTGAACGTGGACGTGGTCGTGGACGTGGACGTGGACGTGGACGTGGACGTGGAGGTGGATGTGGACGTGGACATAGACGTGGTCGTGGACTTGGACGTGGACGTGGTCGTGGACGTGGACGTGGACTTGGACGTGGACGTGGACGTGGACGTGGACATGGACGTGGACGTGGACGTGGACGTGGACGTGGACGTACACGTGGACGTGGACGTACACGTGGACGTGGACGTACACGTGGACGTGGACGTGGACGTGGACTTGGACGTGGACGTGGACGTGGACGTGGACGTGGACGTGGACGTGGACTTGGACGTGGACGTGGACGTGGACGTGGACGTGGACGTGGACGTGGACGTGGACGTGGACACGTGGACGTGGACGTGGACGTGGACGTGGTCGTGGACGTGGACGTGGACGTGGACGTGGACGTGGACGTGGACTTGGACATGGACGAGGACGTGGACGTGGACGTGGACATGGACGTGAACGAGGACGTGGTCGTGGACGTCGACGTGGACGTGGACATGGACGTGGACGTGGACGTGGACGTAGACGTGGACGTGGACGTGGAGGTGGACGTGGACGTGGACGTGGACGTGGACGTGGTCGTGGACGTGGACGTGGACGTGGACGTGGACGTAGTCGTGGACGTGGAGGTGGACGTGGAGGTGGACGTGGACGTGGACGTGGACGTGGACGTGGAGGTGGACGTGGACGTACACGTGGACGTGGACGTGGACGTGGACGTACACGTGGACGTACACGTGGACGTGGACGTGGACGTGGACGTGGACGTGGACGTGGTTGTGGACGTGGACGTGGAGGACGTGGCCGTGGACGTGGACGTGGAGGACGTGGACGTGGACATGGACGTGGACGTGGACGTGGACGTGGACATGGACGTGGACGTGGACGCGTGGACGTGGACGTGGACGTGGACGTGGACGTGGACATGGACGTGGACGTGGACGTGGTTGTGGTCGTGGACGTGGACGTGGACGTGGACGTGGACGTGGACGTGGACGTGGACGTACACGTGGACGTGGACGTGGACGTGGACATGGACGTGGACGTGGACGTGGACGTGGACGTGGAGATGGACGTGGACGTGGAGATGGACGTGGACGTGGACGTGGACGTGGACGTGGACATGGACGTGGACGTGGACGTGGACGTGGACGTGGACGTAGACGTGGTCGTGGACGTGGTTGTGGACGTGGTCGTGGACGTGGACGTGGACGTGGACGTGGACATGGACGTGGACATGGACGTGGACGTGGTCGTGGTCGTAGACGTGGACGTGGACGTGGACATGGTCGTGGACGTGGACGTGGACGTGGTCGTGGACATGGACGTGGACGTGGACGTGGACGTACACGTGGACGTGGACGTGGACGTGGACGTGGAGATGGACGTGGACGTGGACGTGGACGTGGTCGTGGACGTGGACGTGGACGTGGACGTGGACGTGGACGTGGACGTGGACGTGGAGGTGGACGTGGACGTGGACATAGACGTGGTCGTGGACGTGGACGTGGACGTGGTCGTGGACGTGGACGTGGACGTGGACGCGTGGACGTGGACGCGTGGACGTGGACATGGACGTGGACGTGGACGTTGACGTGGTCGTGGACGTGGATCGTGGACGTGGACGTGGACGTGGACGTGAACGCGGACGTGGACGTGGACGCGGACGTGGACGCGGACGTGGACGTGGACGTGGACGCGGACGTGGACGCGGACGTGGACGCGGACGTGGGCGTGGACGTGGACGTGGACGTGGACATGGACGTGGTCGTGGACGTGGTCGTGGACGTGGACGTGGACGGGGTCGTGGACGTGGTCGTGGACGTGGACGTGGACGTGGACGTGGACGTGGACGCGGACGTGGATGCGGACGTGGACGCGGACGTGGATGCGGACGTGGACGTAGACGTGGACGTGGGCGTGGACGTGGACGTGGACGTGGACGTGGACATGAACGTGGACGTGGACGTGAACGTGGACGTGGACGTGGACGTGGACGTGGACGTGGACGTGGTCGTGGACGTGGACGTGGACGTGGACGTGGACGTGGACGTGGACGTGGACATGGTCGTGGACGTGGACGTGGACGAGGACGTGGACTTGGACGTGGACATGGACGTGGACTTGGACATGGTCGTGGACGTGGTCGTGGACGTGGACATGGTCGTGGACTTGGACGTGGACGTGGACGTGGACGTGGACTTGGACGTGGACGTGGACGTGGACGTGGACGTGGACGTAGACGTGGACGTGGACTTGGACGTGGACGTGGACGTGGACGTGGACGTGGACATGGTCGTGGTCGTGGACGTGGACGTGGACGTGGACGTGGACGTGGACATGGTCATGGACGTGGACGTGGACGTGGACGTGGACGTGGACGTGGTCGTGGACGTGGACGTGGACGTGGACGTGGACATGGTCGTGGACGTGGACGGGGTCGTGGACGTGGACGTGGACGTGGACGTGGACGCGGACGTGGACGCGGACGTGGATGCGGACGTGGACGTGGACGTGGACGTGGGCGTGGACGTGGACGTGGACATGGACGTGGACGTGGACGTGGACGTGGACGTGGACGTGGGCGTTGACGTGGACGTGGACGTGGACATGGACGTGGTCGTGGACGTGGTCGTGGACGTGGACGTGGACGTGGACATGGTCGTGGACGTGGATGTGGAGGTGGACATGGTCGTGGACCTGGACGTGGAGGACTTGGACGTGGAGATGGACGTGGACGTGGACGTGGACGTGGACGTGGACATGGACTTGGACGTGGACGTGGACGTGGACCTGGACGTGGACGTGGACGTGGACGTGGACGTGGACGTGGACGTGGACGTGGACCTGGACGTGGACGTGGACGTGGACGTGGACGTGGACGTGGTCGTGGACGTGGACGTGGACGTGGACGTGGACGTGGACTTGGACGTGGACGTGGACGTGGACGTGGACTTGGACGTGGACGTGGACGTGGACGTGGACGTGGACGTGGAGGTGGACATGGTCGTGGAGGTGGAGGTGGACGTGGACGTGGACATGGTCGTGGACGTGGACGTGGACGTGGACGTAGACGTGGACGTGGACGTGGACGTGGACGTGGACGTGGACGTGGACACGTGGACGTGGACGTGGACGTGGACGTGGACGTGGTCGTGGACGTGGACCTGGACGTGGACGTGGTCGTGGACGTGGACGTGGACGTGGACGTGGACGTGGACGTGGACGTGGACACGTGGACGTGGACGTGGACGTGGACGTGGACGTGGTCGTGGACGTGGACCTGGACGTGGACGTGGTCGTGGACGTGGACGTGGACGTGGACGTGGACCTGGACGTGGACGTGGACGTGGACGTGGACGTGGACTTGGACGTGGACGTGGACGTGGACGTGGACATGGACGTGAACGTGGACGTGGTCGTGGACGTGGACGTGGACGTGGACGTGGACGTGGACGTGGACGTACACGTGGACGTGGACGTGGACGTACACGTGGACGTGGACGTGGACGTGGACGTACACGTGGACGTGGACGTGGACGTGGACGTGGACGTGGACGTGAACGTGGACATGGACGTGGACGTGGACGTGGACGTGGAGGACGTGGACGTGGACGTGGACGTGGAGGACGTGGACGTGGACATGGACGTGGACGTGGACGTGGACGTGGACGTGGACGTGGACGTGGACGCGTGGACGTGGTTGTGGACGCGGACATGGACGTGGACGTGGACGTGGTCGTGGTCGTGGACGTGGACGTGGACGTGGACGTGGTCGTGGACGTGGACGTGGACGTGGACGTGGACGTGGACATGGACGTGGACGTGGACGTGGACGTACACGTGGACGTGGACGTGGACGTGGACGTGGACGTGGACGTGGAGATGGACGTGGACATGGACGTGGACGTGGACGTGGACGTGGACGTGGTCGTGGACGTGGACGTGGACGTGGACGTGGACGTGGAGGTGGACGTGGACGTGGACGTGGACGTGGACGTGGACGTGGACGTGGACGTGGAGGACGTGGACGTGGACGTGGACGTGGAGGACGTGGACGTGGACATGGACGTGGACGTGGACGTGGACGCGGACGTGGACGTGGACGTGGACGTGGACGTGGACGTGGACGTGGACGTGGACGTGGACATGGACGTGGACGTGGACGTTGTCGTGGTCGTGGACGTGGACGTGGACGTGGACATGGTCGTGGACGTGGACGTGGACGTGGACGTGGACGTGGACGTGGACGTGGACATGGACGTGGACGTGGACGTGGACGTACACGTGGACGTACACGTGGACGTGGACGTGGACGTGGACGTGGACGTGGACCTGGACCTGGACGTGGACGTGGACGTGGACGTGGAGATGGACGTGGACGTGGAGGTGGACGTGGACGTGGACGTGGACGTGGACGTGGACGTGGAGGTGGACGTGGAGGTGGACGTGGAGGTGGACGTAGACGTGGTCGTGGACGTGGACGTGGACGTGGACGTGGTCGTGGACGTGGTCGTGGACGTGGTCGTGGACGTGGACGTGGACGTGGACGTGGACGTGGACGTGGACGTGGATGGACGTGGACGTGGACGTGGACGTGGACGTGGACCTGGACGTGGACGTGGACGTGGTTGTGGTCGTGGACGTGGACGTGGACTTGGACGTGGACCCGGACGTGGACGTGGACGTGGAGTGGACATGAACGTGGACGTGGTCGTGGACGTGGACGTGGACGTGGACATGGACGTGGACGTGGACGTGGACGTGGAGGTGGACGTGGACGTGGACGTGGTCGTGGACGTGGACGTGGACGTGGACGTGGACGTCGACGTGGACGTGGACGTGGACATGGACGTGAACGTGGACGTGGTAGTGGACGTGGACGTGGACGTGGACGTGGACGTGGAGGTGGATGTGGACGTGGACATAGACGTGGTCGTGGACTTGGACGTGGACGTGGTCGTGGACGTGGACGTGGACTTGGACGTGGACGTGGACGTGGACGTGGACATGGACGTGGACGTGGACGTGGACGTGGACGTGGACGTACACGTGGACGTGGACGTACATGTGGACGTGGACGTACACGTGGACGTGGACGTGGACATGGACGTGGACGTGGACGAGGACGTGGACGTGGACGTGGACGTGGACGTGGACGAGGACGTGGACGTGGACGAGGACGTGGACGTGGACCTGGACGTGGAGGACGTGGACATGGACGTGGACGTGGACATGGACGTGGACATGGACGTGGACGTGGACGTGGACGTGGACGTGGACGTGGACGTGGACGTGGTCGTGGACGTGGACGTGGTCGTGGTCGTGGACATGGACGTGGACGTGGACGTGGACGTTGACGTGGACGTGGACGTGGACCAGGACGTGGACGTGGACGTGGACGTGGACGTGGACGTAGACCTGGACGTGGACGTGGACGTGGACGTGGACGTGGACGTGGAGGTGGACGTGGACGTGGACGTGGACGTGGACTTGGACGTGGACGTGGACGTGGACGTGGACTTGGACGTGGACGTGGACGTGGACGTGGACATGGACGTGGACGTGGACGTGGACGTGGACGTGGACGACGTGGACACGTGGACGTGGACGTGGACGTGGACGTGGACGTGGTTGTGGACGTGGACGTGGACGTGGACATGGACGTGGACGTGGACGTGGACTTGGACGTGGACGTGGACGTGGACGTGGACATGGACGTGAACGAGGACGTGGTCGTGGACGTCGACGTGGACGTGGACATGGACGTGGACGTGGACGTGGACGTGGACGTGGAGGTGGACGTGGACGTGGACGTGGACGTGGACGTGGACGTGGTCGTGGACGTGGACGTGGACGTGGACGTGGACGTAGTCGTGGACGTGGAGGTGGACGTGGAGGTGGACGTGGACGTGGACGTGGACGTGGACGTGGAGGTGGACGTGGACGTACACGTGGACGTGGACGTGGACGTGGATGTACACGTGGACGTACACGTGGACGTGGACGTGGACGTGGACGTGGACGTGGACGTGGACGTGGTTGTGGACGTGGACGTGGAGGACGTGGCCGTGGACGTGGACGTGGAGGACGTGGACGTGGACATGGACGTGGACGTGGACGTGGACGTGGACATGGACGTGGACGTGGACGCGTGGACGTGGACGTGGACGTGGACGTGGACGTGGACATGGACGTGGACGTGGACGTGGTCGTCGTCGTGGACGTGGACGTGGACGTGGACGTGGACGTGGACGTGGACGTGGATGTACACGTGGACGTGGACGTGGACGTGGACGTGGACGTGGACATGGACGTGGACGTGGACGTGGACGTGGACGTGGAGATGGACGTGGACATGGACGTGGACGTGGACGTGGATGTGGACGTGGACGTGGACGTGGACATGGACGTGGACGTGGACGTGGACGTGGACGTGGACGTGGACGTAGACGTGGTCGTGGACGTGGACGTGGACGTGGTCGTGGACGTGGACGTGGACGTGGACGTGGACATGGACGTGGACGTGGACGTGGACGTGGTCGTGGTCGTGGACGTGGACGTGGACGTGGACATGGTCGTGGACGTGGACGTGGACGTGGTCGTGGAGATGGACGTGGACGTGGACGTGGACGTGGTCGTGGACGTGGACGTGGACGTGGACGTGGACGTGGACGTGGTCGTGGACGTGGACGTGGACGTGGACGTGGACGTGGACGTGGACGTGGAGGTAGACGTGGACGTGGACATAGACGTGGTCGTGGACGTGGACGTGGTCGTGGACGTAGACGTGGACGTGGACGCGTGGATGTGGACGTGGACGTGGACGTGGACGTGGACGTGGACGCGTGGACGTGGACGTGGACGTGGACGTGGACATGGACGTGGACGCGTGGACGTGGTCGTGGACGTGGACGTGGTCGTGGACGTGGACGTTGACGTTGACGTGGACGTGGACGTGGATCGTGGACGTGGACGTGGACGTGGACGTGAACGCGGACGTGGACGTGGACGCGGACATGGACGTGGACGTGGACGTGAACGCGGACGTGGACGTGGACGCGGACATGGACGTGGACGTGGACGTGGACTTGGACGTGGACCCGGACAAGGACGTGGACGTGGAGTGGACATGAACGTGGACGTGGTCGTGGACGTGGACGTGGACGTGGACATGGACGTGGACGTGGACGTGGACGTGGAGGTGGACGTGGACGTGGACGTGGACGTGGTCATGGACGTGGACGTGGACGTGGACGTGGACGTCGACGTGGACGTGGACGTGGACATGGACGTGAACGTGGACGTGGTCGTGGACGTGGACGTGGACGTGGACGTGGACGTGGACGTGGAGGTGGATGTGGACGTGGACATAGACGTGGTCGTGGACTTGGACGTGGACGTGGTCGTGGACGTGGACGTGGACTTGGACGTGGACGTGGACGTGGACGTGGACATGGACGTGGACGTGGACGTGGACGTGGACGTGGACGTACACGTGGACGTGGACGTGGACGTACACGTGGACGTGGACGTACACGTGGACGTGGACGTGGACATGGACGTGGACGTGGACGAGGACGTGGACGTGGACGTGGACGTGGACGAGGACGTGGACGTGGACGAGGACGTGGACGTGGACCTGGACGTGGAGGACGTGGACATGGACGTGGACGTGGACATGGACGTGGACGTGGACGTGGACGTGGACGTGGACGTGGACGTGGACGTGGACGTGGTCGTGGACGTGGACGCGGTCGTGGTCGTGGACATGGACGTGGACGTGGACGTGGACGTGGACGTTGACGTGGACGTGGACGTGGACCAGGACGTGGACGTGGACGTGGACGTGGACGTGGACGTGGACGTGGACGTGGACCTGGACGTGGACGTGGACGTGGACGTGGACGTGGACGTGGACGTGGACGTGGACGTGGACGTGGACGTGGATGTGGACTTGGACGTGGACGTGGACGTGGACTTGGACGTGGACGTGGACGTGGACGTGGCCATGGACGTGGACGTGGACGTGGACGTGGACGTGGACGTGGACGTGGACACGTAGACGTGGACGTGGACGTGGACGTGGTCGTGGACGTGGACGTGGACGTGGACGTGGACGTGGACGTGGACGTGGACTTGGACGTGGACGTGGACGAGGACGTGGACGTGGACATGGACGTGAACCAGGACGTGGTCGTGGACGTGGACGTGGACGTGGACATGGACGTGGACGTGGACGTGGACGTGGACGTGGACGTAGACGTGGACGTGGAGGTGGACGTGGACGTGGACGTGGACGTGGACGTGGACGTGGTCGTGGACGTGGACGTGGACGTGGACGTGGACGTAGTCGTGGACGTGGAGGTGGACGTGGAGGTGGACGTGGACGTGGACGTGGACGTGGACGTGGAGGTGGACGTGGAGGTGGACGTGGACGTGGACGTGGACGTGGACGTACACGTGGACGTACACGTGGACGTGGACGTGGACGTGGACGTGGACGTGGTTGTGGACGTGGACGTGGAGGACGTGGCCGTGGACGTGGACGTGGAGGACGTGGACGTGGACATGGACGTGGACGTGGACGTGGACGTGGACATGGACGTGGACGTGGACGCGTGGACGTGGACGTGGACGTGGACGTGGACGTGGACATGGACGTGGACGCGGACGTGGTCGTGGTCGTGGACGTGGACATGGACGTGGACGTGGACGTGGACGTGGACGTGGACATGGACGTGGACGTACACGCGGACGTGGTCGTGGTCGTGGACGTGGACGTGGACGTGGACGTGGACGTGGACGTGGACGTGGACGTGGACGTACACGTGGACGTGGACGTGGACGTGGATGTGGACGTGGACATGGACGTGGACGTGGACGTGGACGTGGACGTGGAGATGGACGTGGACATGGACGTGGACGTGGACGTGGACGTGGACGTGGACGTGGACGTGAACATGGACGTGGACGTGGACGTGGACGTAGACGTGGTCGTGGACGTGGACGTGGACGTGGTCGTGGACGTGGACGTGGACGTGGACGTGGACGTGGACATGGACGTGGACGTGGACGTGGACGTGGTCGTGGTCGTGGACGTGGACGTGGACGTGGACATGGTCGTGGACGTGGACGTGGACGTGGTCGTGGACATGGACGTGGACGTGGACGTGGACGTGGTCGTGGACGTGGACGTGGACGTGGACGTGGACGTGGACGTGGACGTGGTCGTGGACGTGGACGTGGACGTGGACGTGGACGTGGACGTGGACGTGGACGTGGACGTGGAGGTGGACGTGGACGTGGACATAGACGTGGTCGTGGACGTGGACGTGGTCGTGGACGTAGACGTGGACGTGGACGCGTGGACGTGGACGTGGACGTGGACGTGGACGTGGACGTAGACGTGGACGTGGGCGTGGACGTGGACGTGGACGTGGACATGAACGTGGACGTGGACGTTAACGTGGACGTGGACGTGGACGTGGACGTGGACGTGGACGTGGACGTGGTCGTGGACGTGGACGTGGACGTGGACGTGGACGTGGACGTGGACGTGGACGTGGACGTGGACATGGTCGTGGACGTGGTCGTGGACGTGGACGTGGACTTGGACGTGGACATGGACGTGGACGTGGACTTGGACATGGTCGTGGACGTGGTCGTGGACGTGGACATGGTCGTGGACTTGGACGTGGACGTGGACGTGGACGTGGACTTGGACGTGGTCGTGGGCGTGGACGTGGACGTGGACGTAGACGTGGACGTGGACTTGGACGTGGACGTGGACATGGACGTGGACGTGGACATGGTCGTGGTCGTGGACGTGGACGTGGACGTGGACGTGGACGTGGTCATGGTCGTGGACGTGGACGGGGTCGTGGACGTGGACGTGGACGTGGACGTGGACGCGGACGTGGATGCGGACGTGGACGTGGACGTGGGCGTGGACGTGGACGTAAACGTGGACCTGGACGTGGACGTGGACGTGGACGTGGACGTGGACGTGGACGTGGACGTGGGCGTGGACGTGGACGTGGACGTGGACATGGACGTGGACGTGGACGTGGACGTGGACGTGGACGTGGGCGTGGACGTGGACGTGGACGTGGACATGGACGTGGTCGTGGACGTGGTCGTGGACGTGGACGTGGACTTGGACGTGGACATGGTCGTGGACGTGGATGTGGAGGTGGACATGGTCGTGGACGTGGACGTGGAGGACTTGGACGTGGAGATGGACGTGGACGTGGACGTGGACGTGGACGTGGACATGGACTTGGACGTGGACGTGGACGTGGACCTGGACGTGGACGTGGACGTGGACGTGGACGTGGACGTGGACGTGGACGTGGACGTGGACGTGGACGTGGACCTGGACGTGGACGTGGACGTGGACGTGGACGTGGTCGTGGACGTGGACGTGGACGTGGACGTGGACTTGGACGTGGACGTGGACGTGGACGTGGACGTGGACGTGGACATGGACGTGGACGTGGACGTGGACGTGGAGGTGGACATGGTCGTGGAGGTGGAGGTGGACGTGGACGTGGACATGGTCGTGGACGTGGACGTGGACGTAGACGTGGACGTGGACGTGGACGTGGACGTGGACGTGGACGTGGACACGTGGACGTGGACGTGGACGTGGACGTGGACGTGGTCGTGGACGTGGACGTGGACGTGGACGTGGTCGTGGACGTGGACGTGGACGTGGACCTGGACCTGGACGTGGACGTGGACGTGGACGTGGACGTGGACGTGGACGTGGACGTGGACGTGGACGTGGACGTGGACGTGGACATGGACGTGAACGTGGACGTGGTCGTGGACGTGGACGTGGACGTGGACGTGGAGGTGGACGTGGAGGTGGACGTGGAGGTGGACGTGGTCGTGGACGTGGACGTGGTCGTGGACGTGGACGTGGACGTGGTCGTGGACGTGGACGTGGACGTGGACGTGGACGTGGACGTGGACGTGGACGTGGACGTACACGTGGACGTGGACGTGGACGTACACGTGGACGTGGACCTGGACGTGGACGTACACGTGGACGTAGACGTGGACGTGGACGTGGACGTGGACGTGGACGTGGACGTGGACGTGGACGTGGAGGACGTGGACGTGGACGTGGACGTGGAGGACGTGGACGTGGGACGTGGACATGGACGTGGACGTGGACGTGGACATGGACGTGGACGTGGACGCGTGGACGTGGTCGTGGACGCGGACATGGACGTGGACGTGGACGTGGTCGTGGTCGTGGACGTGGACGTGGACGTGGACGTGGTCGTGGACGTGGACGTGGACGTGGACGTGGACATGGACGTGGACGTGGACGTGGACGTACACGTGGACGTGGACGTGGACGTGGACGTGGACGTGGACGTGGACGTGGAGATGGACGTGGACATGGACGTGGACGTGGACGTGGACGTGGTCGTGGACGTGGACGTGGACATGGACGTGGACGTGGACGTGGACGTGGATGTGGACGTGGACGTGGACGTGGATGTGGAGGACGTGGACGTGGACGTGGAGGACGTGGACGTGGACGTGGACGTGGAGGACGTGGACGTGGACATGGACGTGGACGTGGACGTGGACGTGGACATGGACGTGGACGTGGATGCGTGGACGTGGACGTGGACGTGGACGTGGACATGGACGTGGACGTGGACGTTGTCCTTGTCGTGGACGTGGACGTGGACGTGGACTTGGTCGTGGACGTGGACGTGGACGTGGACATGGACGTGGACATGGACGTGGACGTGGACGTGGACGAACACGTGGACGTGGACGTACACGTGGACGTGGACGTGGACGTGGACATGGACGTGGACGTGGACGTGGACGTGGACGTGGACGTGGACGTGGAGATGGACGTGGACGTGGACATGGACGTGGACGTGGACATGGACGTGGACGTGGACCTGGTCGTGGACGTGGACGTGGATGTGGAGGTGGACGTGGACGTGGACGTGGACGTGGACATGGACGTGGACGTGGACGTGGACGTACACGTGGACGTGGACGTACACGTGGACGTGGACGTGGACGTGGACGTGGACCTGGACGTGGACGTGGACGTGGACGTGGACGTGGAGATGGACGTGGACGTGGACATGGACGTGGACGTGGACATGGACGTGGACGTGGACCTGGTCGTGGACGTGGACGTGGACGTGGACGTGGACGTGGACGTGGACGTGGACTTGGACGTGGACGTGGACGTGGACGTGGACGTGGACGTGGACGTGGAGGTGGACATGGTCGTGGAGGTGGACGTGGACGTGGACGTGGACCTGGTCGTGGACGTGGACGTGGACGTGGACGTGGACGTGGACGTGGACGTAGACGTGGACGTGGACGTGGACGTACACGTGGACGTGGACGTGGACGTGGACGTGGACATGGACGTGGACGTGGACGTGGACGTGGAGATGGACGTGGACATGGACGTGGACGTAAACGTGGACGTGGACGTGGACGTGGACGTGGACGTGGACGTGGACGTGGACGTGGACGTGGACATGGACGTGAACGTGGACGTGGTCGTGGTCATGGAGGTGGACGTGGACGTGAACGTGGACGTGGTCGTGGACGTGGACGTGGACGTGGACGTGGACGTGGACGTGGAGGTGGACGTGGACGTGGACGTGGACGTGGTCGTGGACGTGGACGTGGACGTGGTCGTGGACGTGGACGTGGACGTGGACTTGGACGTGGACGTGGACGTGGACGTGGACGTGGACGTGGACGTACACGTGGACGTGGACATGGACGTAGACGTGGACGTGGACATGGACGTGGACGTGGACGTGGACGTGGACGTGGACGTGGACCTGGACGTGGACGTGGACGTGGAGGACGTGGACGTGGACGTGGACGTGGAGGACGTGGACGTGGACATGGACGTGGACGTGGACGCGTGGACGTGGACGTGGACGTGGACGTGGACGTGGACATGGACGTGGACGTGGACGTGGTCGTGGTCGTGGACGTGGACGTGGACGTGGACATGGTCGTGGACGTGGACGTGGACGTGGACGTGGACGTGGACATGGACGTGGACGTGGACGTGGACGTACACGTGGACGTGGACGTGGACGTGGACGTGGAGATGGACGTTGACATGGACGTGGACGTGGACGTGGACGTGGACGTGGACGTGGTCGTGGACGTGGACGTGGACATGGACGTGGACGTGGACGTGGACGTGGACGTGGACGTGGAGGTGGACGTGGACGTGGACATAGACGTGGTCGTGGACGTGGACGTGGACGTGGTCGTGGACGTGGACGTGGACGTGGACGTGGACATGGACGTGGACGTCGACGTGGTCGTGGTCGTGGACGTGGACGTGGACCTGGTCGTGGACGTGGACGTGGACGTGGACGTGGACGTGGACGTGGAGATGGACGTTGACGTGGACGTGGACGTGGACGTGGACGTGGACGTGGACGTGAACGTGGACGTGGACGTGGACGTGAACGTGGACCTGGACGTGGACGTGGACGTGGACGTGGACGTGGACGTGGACTTGGACGTGGTCGTGGACGTGGACGTGGACTTGGACGTGGTCGTGGACGTGGTCGTGGACGTGGACATGGTCGTGGACGTGGATGTGGACGTGCACGTGGACGTGGACTTGGACGTGGACGTGGACGTGGACGTGGACGTGGACGTGGACTTGGACGTGGACGTGGACGTGGACGTGGACATGGATGTGGACGTGGACTTGGACGTGGACGTGGACGTGGACGTGGACATGGTCGTGGTCATGGATGTGAACGTGGACGTGGACGTGGACGTGGACATGGTCATGGACGTGGACATGGACGTGGACGTGGACGTGGACGTGGACATGGTCGTGGACGTGGACGTGGACGTGGACGTGGACATGGTCGTGGACGTGGACCTGGTCGTGGACGTGGACGTGGACGTGGACATGGACGTGGACAGGGACGTGGACGTGGACGTGGACGCGGACATGGACGTGGACGTGGACGTGGACGTGGACGTGGACGTGGGCGTGGACATGGACGTGGACGTGGACATGGACGTGGACGTGGACCTGGACGTGAACGTGGACGTGGACGTGGACGTGGACATGGTCGTGGACGTGGACGTGGAGGTGGACATGGTCGTGGACGTGGACGTGGAGGACTTGGACGTGGAGATGGACGTGGACTTGGACGTGGACTTGGACGTGGACTTGGACGTGGACGTGGACGTGGACCTGGTCGTGGACGTGGACGTGGACCTGGTCGTGGACGTGGACGTGGACGTGGACGTGGACGTGGACCTGGTCGTGGACGTGGACGTGGACGTGGACGTGGACGTGGACGTGGAGATGGACGTGGACGTGGACGTGGACGTGGACGTGGACGTGAACGTGGACGTGGACGTGGACGTGAACGTGGACGTGGACGTGGACGTGGACGTGGACGTGGACGTGGACGTGGAGTTGGACGTGGTCGTGGACGTGGACGTGGACTTGGACGTGGTTGTGGACGTGGTCGTGGACGTGGACATGGTCGTGGACGTGGACGTGGACGTGGACGTGGACGTGGACTTGGACGTGGACGTGGAGGTGGACGTAGACGTGGACGTGGACTTGGACGTGGACGTGGACGTGGACGTGGACGTGGACATGGACGTGGACGTGGACTTGGACGTGGACGTGGACGTGGACGTGGACATGGTCGTGGTCGTGGACGTGGACATGGACGTGGACGTGGACGTGGACATGGTCATGGACGTGGACGTGGACGTGGACGTGGACGTGGACATGGACGTGGACGTGGACATGGTCGTGGACGTGGACCTGGTCGTGGACGTGGACGTGGACATAGACCAGGCAAGCTCCTGGACCAGGCACGCTCCTGGACCAGGCAAGCTGTTAGACCAGGCAAGCTCCTGGACCAGGCAAGCTCCTGGACCAGGCACGCTCCTGGACCAGGCAAGCTCCTGGACCAGGCAAGCTCCTGGACCAGGCAAGCTCGTGGACCAGGCATGCTCCTGGATTAGGCAAGATCCTAGACCAGGCAAGCTCCTGGACCAGGCAAGCTCCTGGATCAGGCAAGCTCCTAGACCAGGCACGCTCCTGGACCAGGCAAGCTGTTAGACCAGGCAAGCTCATGGACCTGGCACGCTCCTGGACCAGGCACGCTCCTGGACCAGGCACGCTCCTAGACCAGGCACGCTCCTGGACCAGGCAAGCTCCTGGACCACGCAAGCTCCTGGACCTTTCATGCTTCTCGACCAAGCAAGCTCCTGGACAAGGCAAGCTCCTGGACCACGCAAGCTCTTGGACCAGGCACGCTCCTCGACCAGGCAAGCACTTGGACCAGGCAGGCTTCTGGACCAAGCAAGCTCCTGGACCAGGCAAGCTCCTGGACCAGGCACGCTCCTGGACCAGGCTAGCTTTTGGACCAGGCAAGCTCTTGGACCAGGCAAGCTCCTGGACCAAGCAAGCTCCTGGACCAGGCAAGCTCCTAGACCAGGCAAGCTCCTGGACGAGGCAAGCTCCTGGAACAGGCACGCTCGTGGACCAGGCACGATCTTGGACCAGGCAAGCCCTTGGACCAGGCAGGCTCGTGGATCAGGCACGCTCCTAGACCAGGCAAGCTCCTGGACCAGGCAAGCTCCTAGACCAGGCAAGCTTTTAAACCAGACATGCTCCTGGACCAGGCACGCTCCTAGACCAGGAACGCTCCTTGACCAGGCACGCTCCTAGACCAGGCACGCTCTTGGACCAGGCAAGCTCCTGGACCACGCAAGCTCATGGACCTTTCATGCTTCTCGACCAAGCAAGCTCCAGGACCTGGCAAGCTCCTGGACCACGCAAGCTCTTGGACCAGGCACGCTCCTCGACCAGGCAAGCACTTGGACCAGGCAGGCTTCTGGACCAAGCAAGCTCCTGGACCAGGCAGACTCCTGGACCAGGCACGCTCCTGGACCAGGCAAGCTTTTGGACCAGGCAAGCTCTTGGACCAGGCAAGCTCCTGGATCAAGCAAGCTCCTGGACCAGGCAAGCTCGTGGACCAGGCAAGCTCGTGGACCAGGCAAGCTCGTGGACCAGGCAAGCTCCTGGAGCTCCTGGACCAGGGAGGCTCGTGGACCAGGCAAGCTCTTGGACTAGGCACCCTCGTGGACCAAGCACGATTCCGGACCAGGCAAGCTCCTTGACCAGGCAAGCTCCTGGACCACGCAAGCTTTTGGACCTGGCAAGCTTCTGGACCAAGGAAGCTCCTGGACCAGGCACACTCCTGGACCAAGCACGCTCATGGAGAAGGCAAGCTCCTGGATCAGGCAAGCTCCTGCACCAAGCAAGCTCCTGGACCAGGCACGCTCGTGGACCAGGCAAGCTCCTGGACAAGGCAAGCTACTGGACCACGCAATCTCTTGGACCAGGCATGCTCTTGGACCAGGCAAGCTCTTGGCTGAGGAACGCTTCTGGACCAAGCAAGCTCTTGGACCAGGCAAGCTCCTGGACCAGCAAGCTCGTAGACCAGGCAAGCTCCTGGACCAGGCAAGCTCCTGGACCACGCAAGCTCCTGGACTAGGCAAGCTCTTGGTCCAGGCAAGCTCCTGGACAAGGCAAGCTCCTGGACCAGGCAAGCTCCTCGACCAGGCACGCTCCTCGACCAGGCACGCTCTTCGACCAGGCAAGCTCTTGGACTAGGCACGCTCCTGGACCAAGCAAGCTCTTAGACCAGGCAGGCTTCTGGACCAAGCAAGCTCCAGGACCAGGCACACTCCTTGACCAGGCACGCTCCTCGACAAGGCAAACTCCTGGAAAAGACTAGCTCCTGGACCACGCAAGCTCTTAGACCAGGCACACTCCTGGACCAGGCACGCTCCTGGACTAGGCAAGCTCCTAGACCAGGCAAGCTCCTGGACAAGGCAAGCTCGTGGACCACTCACGCTCCTGGACCACACAAGCTCCTAGACCAGGCAAGCTCTTGGACGAGGCAAGCTCCTGGACTAGGCAAACTCGTGGACCAGGCATGCTCCTGGACCAAGCAAGATCCTGGACAAGGCAAGCTCATGGACGAAGCAAGCTCCTGGATCACGCAAGCTCCTGGACCAAGCACGCTCCTGGACCAGGCAAGCTCCTAGATCAGGCAAGGTCGTGGACCAGGCAAGCTCCTGGACCAGGCACGCTCCTGGACTAGGCAAGCTCCTGGACCAGGCAAGCTCGTGGACCACGCAAGCCCTTGGAGTAGGCAAGCTCTTGGACCAGGCAAGCTCGTGGACCAGGCACGCTCCTGGACCAGGCAACCTCCTGGACCACGCAAGCCCCTGGACCAGGCAAGCTCGTGGACCAGGCAAGCTCCTAGACCAGGCAAGCTCCTGGACCAGGCAAGCTCGTGGACCAAGCAAGCTCGTGGACCAGGCAAGCTCTTGGACCAGGCAAGCTCCTGGACCAAGCAAGCTCATGGACCAGGCAGGCTCGTGGACCAGGCACGCTCCTGGACTAAGCAAGCTCCTGGACCAGGCAAGCTTTTGGACTAGGCACGCACCCGGACCAGGCAAGCTCTTGGATCTATCATGCTTCTCGACCAAGCAAGCTCCTGGACCAGGCAAGCTCCTGGACCACGCAAGCTCTTGGACTAGGCACGCTCCTCGACCAGGCAAGCACTTGGACCAGGCAGGCTTCTGGACCAAGCAAGCTCCTGGACGAGGCAAGCTGTTGGACCAGGCACGGTCATGGACCTGGCAAGCTTTTGGACCAGGCAAGCTCTTGGACCAGGCAAGCTCTTGGACCAAGCAAGCTCCTGGACCAGGAAAGCTCCTAGACCAAGCAAGATCCTGGACGAGGCAAGCTGCTGGACCAGGCACGCTCGTGGACCAGGCACGATCTTAGACCAGTCAAGCCCTTGGACCAGGCAGGCTCGTGGATCAGGCACGCTCCTGGACCAGGCAAGCTCCTGGACCAGGCAAGCTCCTGGACCAGGCAAGCTCCTGGACCAGGCACGCTCATGGACCAGGCAAGCTCCTAGACCAGGCAAGCTCCTGGACCAGACAAGCTCCTGGACCAGGCAAACTCGTCAACCAGGCAAGCTCCTGGACCATGCAAGCTCCTGGACTAGGTAAGCTCTTGGACAAGGCACGCTCCTGGACCAGGCAACCTCCTGGACCATGCAAGCTCCTGTACTAGGCAAGCTCGTGCACCAGGCACGCTCCTGGACCAGGCAAGCTCCTAGATTAGGCAAGCTACTGGACCAAGCAAGCTCCTGGACCTGGCAAGCTCCTGGACCAGGCAAACTCGTGCACCAAGCAAGCTCGTGGACCAGACAAGCACCTGGACTAGGCAAGCTCCTGGACCAGGCAAACTCCTGGACCAGGCAAGTTCGTGGATTACGCACGCTCTTGGACCAGGCAACCTCCTGGACCAGGCAAGCTCCTGGACCAGGCAAGCTCCTAGACCAGGCAAGCTCCTAGACCGGGAAAACTCCTGGACCAGGCAAGCTCGTGGACCAGGCAAGCTCGTGGACCAGGCAAGCTCGTGGACCAGGCAAGCTCCTGGACCAGGCAAGCTCTTGGACCAGGCAGGCTCGTGGACCAGGCAAGCTCTTGGACCAGGCACCCTCGTGGACCAGGCACGATTCCGGACCAGGCAAGCTCCTTGACCAGGCAAGCTCCTGGACCACGCAGGCTCTTGGACCTGGCAAGCTCCTGGACCACGCAAGCTCTTGGACCAGGCACGCTCCTGCAGAAAGCAAGCTCTTGGACCAGGCAGGCTTCTCGACCAAGCAAGCTCGTGGACCAGGCAGGCTTCTCGACCAGGCAAGCTCGTGGACCAGGCAAGCTCCTGGACCAGGCAAGCTCTTGGACCAGGCAGGCTCTTGGACCAGGCAAGCTCCTGGACCAGGCACCCTCGTGGACCAGGCACGATTCCGGACCAGGCAAGCTCCTTGACCAGGCAAGCTCCTGGACCACGCAGGCTCTTGGACCTGGCAAGCTCCTGGACCACGCAAGCTCTTGGACCAGGCACGCTCCTGCAGAAAGCAAGCTCTTGGACCAGGCAAGCTCCTGGACCAGGAAAGCTCCTGGACCAGGCAAGCTCCTTGACCGGGCAAGCTCTTGGACCATTCACGCTCCTGGACCAAGCAAGCTCTTGGACGAGGCAAGCTGTTAGACCACGCAAGCTCCTGGACCAAGCAAGCTCCTGGACCAGGCAAACTCGTGGACCAGGCAAGCTCCTGGACCAGGCAAGCTCCTGGACCAGGCAAGCTCCTAGACCAGGCAAGCTCCTGGACCAGGCAAGCTCTTGGACCAGGCAAATTCGTGGACCAGGCAAGCTCCTGAACCACGCAAACACGTGGACCAGGCACGCTCCTGGACCAGGCAAGGTCCTGGACCAGGCAAGATCCTAGACGAGGCAAGCTCCTGGACCACGCAAGCTCCTGGACCGGGCAATCTTGTGGACCAGGCACGCTCCTGGACCAAGCAAGCTCCTGGACCAGGCAAGCTCCTGGACCAGGCAAGCTCTTGGACCAGGCACGCTCCTGGACCAAGCAAGCACTTGGACCAGGCAAGTTGTTGGACCAGGCAAGCTCCTAGTTTTGGCAAGCTCCTTGACCAGGCAAGCTTGTGAACCAAGCACGCTCCTGGACCTGGCAAGCTCCTGGACCAGGCAAGCTCCAAGACAAGGCAGGCTCCTGGACCAGGCAAGCTCCTAGACCAGGCAAGCTCCTGGACCAGGGAAGCTCCCGGACCAGGCAAGCTCCTGGACCAGGCAAGATCCTGGACCAGGCAAGCTCCTGGACCAGGCAAGCTCTTGGACCAGGCAAGCTCGTGGACCAGGCATGCTCCTGGACCAGGCAAGATCCTAGACCAGGCAAGCTCCTGGACCAGGCAAGCCCTGGATCAGGCAAGCTCCTGGACCAGGCACGCTCCTGGTTCAGGCAAGCTGTTAGACCAGGCAAGCTCCTAGACCAGGCAAGCTCCTAGACCAGGCAAGCTCCTAGACCAGGCAAGCTCCTAGACCAGGCAAGCTCCTGGACCTCGCAAGCTCCTAGACCAAGCAAGCTCCTGGACCAGGCAAGCTCCTTGACCAGGGAAGCTCCCAGACCATGCAATCTCTTTGACCAGGCAAGCTCGTGGACCAGGCAAGCT